GTCGCCAACCAGGGCCGCTGTCACCATCGCCACCATCAGGGCCCGCTTCTACTGTCTTCATGACTGGGGCCGCCGTAATTATCGTCGCCCCAGGCCGCCGCTACTACCCTTAAAAAGGGCCGCATTCGCCCTTCGCCACAATCAGGGCCGCATACAACACCCCTGCGAGAGGTCGCTGCCGCCCTCATCATTATATGGGCCACTGCCAACGTCACCGCTGAGGCCGCCGCCACCACTGCAAGGGAACTGCAGGCAGCCGTCGCAGTCGCCGTCACAACCGACGCGACTGCTCTCATTGCCATGCTCTTCACTACGACTGACGCGTACCACTGCCAATCTTGCTGACACCAGTAGCGCTCCCGTCGCCGTACAATTACCCGCCGAATAATCTCCGACACCGACTGCCGACTCTCTCTCGTTACCTTCCTCTCCCCTGCACGACAAGTTGCCGGAATTCTAGATAGCCGCGTGTGTGTGTGGGTGTGTTCGACTTAATACACAAATCATTGTGTTTTATTTGGTGGGGGTTAGTGGGACCTTCGCTGGACTCTGGAGCGGCTGAGCATACCTCAGCCTTCGACAAAACCCACCTCATACCTGGTTTCAATTTCTATTACGTAGCTGGTTCGCTTCTACATAAGTTAAAAAAAATCTCATTTTGTGTTAATGTTGTTTCCGAGAGAACGAAAAATAACACTGAGGATGGCACAACGCCGAAACCGGTTTGTCTCCAAACCGAATTCGACAAGTGATGACGTAAATTCGTACTAAAATGCATCATAATTTTTTCTCTAAAACCTAAGAAAATGAATATCATAAATATGTAATAGTTACAATGTGCACGCAAAGTATAATTCAGCCGCAAATGTGAGACACCAACTTTCCAATACAAATATCAACTGAACGATATAGCGCAGCAAGTAACAGCTAACTTTGAACCATGCTGCATCTCAAAATTTACAAAGTCACTAAGTGGCAGTGACCGGCTACTACAATTAGTATTTGAAAACCACAAATTAAAATTTTTGCGGCTAATTTGCCGCGGCGCGCTTTCCGAAGGGTTAAACAGGGTTAAAGGAGCGTGTGTATAGCATTACGGGCATTCTGAGTACAACGTCAAGACCGGCTCTTAATGCTTTGTTGAATTTGGCACTTTTGGATTTAGTGGTCAAAGAGGAGGCAATGAAAACGATGTGTAGACTGCACTCTTTTGGTCTGTGGCCACAGATAGTTGTTCAGAAGGTTGCCAGAGCAATATTCTCTATTTTTGGCACCTAATGACAAACTGATACTTGGAATCTTTTTTGGAAGAAAGTACGTCGTTAGATATCCTACAAGGGAACAATGGAGAGATCCAGACACTCTCTTAGGAAACTCGGTGAAAACTTTCTATACCGACGGCTCAAACACTGAAAACGATACTGGAGATGGATGGCATCAGGGCGGTAGCTTCAGATGTTTTACTGCTTTGGGTGCAATGGCAACGGTCTTTCAATCGGAAGTCTTTACAATGCTGAAAGTGGCAGACTGAATAATTGGTGAAATGTGGCACGTACACAAAATCATGATATTCAGCGAGAGCCAAGCTGCTCTAAAGACCTTGGAAACCGCTCGCACCTCCAGGAATATTATTTGGGGCTGAACCCCGTTACGAGGTGGAATGAGCTTGAACTTGTGTGAGTGCCAGGATAAACTGGCTGATGAATTGTCGAACTACGGTTCTCTGGAGCGCCCAATTGAACCGGAGCCAATTTTAGTGCCAACTATAGCGGGAACGATTGGGTACATAAAGAATCTCATAAACAAAACTCGTAAGAGCCCTTGGTGCACTATTGACACCTGCAAAATAACTAAGTGTTTCCTGAAAAGGTCTGACGGGGTGATGGCAAAATTCCTTATCAGACAAAGATGGAGTGATCTACGAACCGTAATAGGACTAATTATGGGGCACAATCCATTTGAACGACACATGGTCAAAATAGGCATCATCGTCTATTCACTGTGTACATCGTGTTCGGAGGATGGGGATAGTACGGAACATTTTCCCTGCCGCTATCCGGCCTTTGTCAGACTCGGAACATTTTTGGGTCGGATATACTGATAATGGAAGAGATACATTATTTTCCCTCACCAAACTGCTAAAATTCCTAAAGGGGCCTGGTAAGCTTGCAGAGGAGCAATGAACTCCCATCCCCAAATTTATATCCCCTTTCTTTTAAAACAGAGGTTCACAAACTTTTTTTGCGTAGACCCCCTTTCAAAAATTTACTGGTTTCGGTGGCTGATATATTTTTAGATATTCCCAAACCTCGTAAAAAATTAAATGTGAAGATTTAACTATGTAAATCTGCATCGCTGGTGTATTCAAAAACTAAACTCGGAGAGGCCAAAATAGAACTAAAATATTTTCATTATATTATGTTTTATTTCTATTTATTAAAACAATATAACTTACACACTTGCAGGTTTTAAAAAATAGAGCTCGTAAATCCATCAAAATACTCTCTCGCTCTAAGCAGTTATATTTTTAAAGAGCACTTTGAGCCCTAGCGTCATTTACATTATCTTCACCATGAACTCATCAAATGTTCGGCTCACTCGTGACTTTGTACATGGTGTGCTTGTAAAATAGTTTATTTGTGCTTGTTTTAAAGTGAGGCGAAAAATATTTAGCACTCACATTTTTAAAACACAAAACTTAAAACAACAAAACGGCGAAGCTTTTTACGCCAAACTTTTAATTCAGAAACTGACAATATAGAAAAGAACGAGTCTAGAAAAATCGATGACAAACAACCAAGCAAGCAAGAAGCACAAAAAGTGTTCCAACGTCTCATCCTCTTCAAGGCAGGATGAGCAAATGGACTTGTAATTTACGCCACAGTCAAGTGTTTGTGCCACGTGAAGGGACCAGTCAGCAGTCCAACAAGTTGTCTGCAGTATCCCTGCTCAGTGAGAGCTAAAACCTAGATAGACCTTCTGAGATTGAAGGCAACATGAGTTTTGCCCACCTGCATCCCCTCGATCACCCAGTTTCTGATGGTTGCTTCGATGGCCGAAAGTGGGTGTGCTTAAACTGGTTGCGGACCGAGGAATGCCTGGTCTGAGCCAATTCTGGCCAAATGGTCAGATGTCTCATTACCAGGTACTCCCGAGTGACCTGCCACCCCCCAGCAAAAAATCGGTAATCGCTTTTAGTGGTAACGTGTTCTAGAAGGCATAGCGTTATAATGCCTTCGAATTTTTTCGCTTCTTTTAGGCATTGTCGGTATTGCAAAGTAGAATGTCCTACAATATTTTAGTTATTTCGCTTCTTTGCTTCATTTCGGGGAATGCAAAGTAGAATGTCCTACAATATTTTTTTTTTATTTCGCTTCTTTGCTTCATTTCGGGGAATGCAAAGTAGAATGCTGCATCGTAGTCAGCTGAAAAATAGAATGAATATCCAAAAAATCTTTTTTTACCGTTAGTTTCTGTGGAAATTTGTCTCGCATAAAAATCATGTTTTGCTTTGTTCAATTTGCAGTCAGTCAATGGAGTGAAGTACAAGAGTGAGGAAGTACAATTTTAAGCTTAATTAAATATGCATGTATGTACATATCGATTTTTAACTAAAATCTAAATACCCAAATACATACATATGTTTGTATAAAAACTGATTTATAAAAATTGTAATTAATTTTAATCTTTTAAGACATTTTCTGATTTCAATTTAATATAAATAAGTATGTACTTAGCTAGGCATTCTACATTAGTTTCTCTGTAAGGCATTCTTTTTTTGCTTCTCTGGATTCTGTTTATCCATGCGTCCTCCCTTAGTTCGAAGGTAATGCTGCGGGTAAGGGCTTACCGCCAATGACATGCCCATGTTAAAATAATGCCTTCCTGAAGCGAAAGGGTAAGCGATTCCCATAGCCTAGCTCGTTTCCACTTTCGCTTCTGTGGTAATCGTGTCTTTTGGTGGGCCAGAGTAAAGCAAGCTCTTTATGTTTACCACCATAATATAGTCGAGACTTGCATTGCCGAACTAGTTTGGAAGTAGTTAGAGGGCTAGCCAATGCGTTAAGTGCAGCTTGGTTGTCACTGCAGACACGTAAACTCCTTCCCCTCCACCTGTGTTCCACCATGTAGTCCATAGCTTTGAGGATTGCAATCACCACAACCTGGAAGACCGAAACATATTCCCCAACATAAAAGTGAAGCTATCCCCATTAACTTCGAAAAAGACCCCAGATCATGACTCAAAGTCAGTTTTGGAGCCATCAGTGAAGATTCGACAATGTGTGAGTCCGGTCTCAGTGATGGAATTAAACCAGCATTCAATCTCAGGGAACTCAACATTATAGAATCTCTTCAACAAAGGTACTGGTTGCGTACTATCATATAGCATTGAAAAGACACAAGTGCTTAAATCTCTGCCGCCAGCAATTTTCGCCGCGCCCCACTCAGTGTTATACCAACATCCGGTTATTTTTAGTCTGCAGGTGGCCTGTAAGGCTTTCCCACGTATGAAAACACAAAGTGACGGTAAGTGCAGCAGTGCGTCAAGAGCACTATACACCACTCAAATTAAAGTTAAATAAAGAGGTTATCAAGCAACCATTTTGGTCCTTTAGTATCGAAACCAGAAAAATTGTCGTAAGCCCCCACTTACAACTCATGGACCCCCATTAAGGTGCCCATCGAAATTGTTTTTTTTTTTGGAAATTTAAAGACCCTACCCCCTAATTTTATTCGTTTTTATGAGAAATATTATTGGCTATCTTTATAGACTTTTTAAAGGTCATTTAGGGGTCGCGACCTGTCGATTTAGGTCAGAAAATAGGATTTTGTAGATTTATCAGTTTTTGAATTAATATTTTTGATTCGATTTCAAAGACCGAATATGATCTGAGAAGAGAATATATAGGCCTTTAAAATAGTATAAATAGTTCTTATGATTTCATATAAAAGACCACTAACTATATATTCTCTATTGTGTTTTTCCTTTTCATTTTTAGATCTTTATACAATAACAAACTATCAAACATTCCGGATGATTTTTCATACTTATCAAACCTACAAAGCTTACAACTTGATAGCAATCCTCTACGTTGCGATTGTTCAGTTCATTCGCTATGGTGGTATTACACCCAAGAAATTTCGATATTTAATAATACTCGGCAAAATCGTACTCAGGTCACGTTGTCTTGTAAGTCTTTGCACTCTGGAGTTAAAGAGCTTACGGAACTTCGAGTAGAGGACTTTAATTGCGGTAAGTCAGAATAAAATTCAAAGCTTTTCATTAGGGCATTCAAAAATTTGGACGAATATTTTGCTGTTTCAGATCCTACTTCATAATAGTTAACGCAGATAAAAAGTTTTTATTTATTTATTTACTTCAATAAAGTAGTCTATGAAATACAATGATTCTTACAGACCACGAAGCTAATTATAGATAAATTAGAATACAGGCTAAATTATGCGTTCATTTAATAATGACTTAAATTTACTGGGTCAACTTGTCAAATAAGGTTAAACTAACTACACAAAGAAACAAGTAATTTTTAAGCAAAAAACACAACTGACTTCAATTCTTATATGAAAACTTAGGAGTACCGTTAATTGTTTCATGATTCAATGATCGGATCTAAACCAAATTAGTGTGGGACCACCTGTGAGATGTCGGCCATGTGGCGTAGTGGTAAGCAGTGCGCGCTTCCACTCCGCAGCCCCTGGGTTCAAGCCCTGGTCAAAGCAACATCGCAAAAAATAATATAAAAAACGTTTTTTCTTAACAGCGGTCGTGCCTCAGCAGGCAATGGCAAACCTTCGAGTGTATTTCTGCCATGAAAAACAGCTTCCTATAAAAATACAATCGCCGTTCGGAGTCGGTGTAAAACTGTAGGTCCCTCCGATTTGTGTGACAACATCAAGGCGCACGCCACAAGTCGGAGGAGAAGCTCGGCCAAACACTAACATATGTATAAGCGCCAATCTATTTTTATTATTTACCTGTGAGACACTACCTTTCCGATAGAAAAAGAATTATCGAAATCGGTTTACGTGGTCCAAAGTTATGCGGTAACATACATAAAAAAATAATAATATTCCGACGAATTGATAACCTTATCATTTTCGGGGTTTCCATATAAACAATTTTAAAATTTTGAGCAGAAAAAGTATTTTATAAAGCATGTTCACATTATCGTAATTTGCCGCTCATTCGTAATTCATAAAAAAATCATGCTGAAAATGCGAAATTCGCGAAAATTCAACCAATTTCAAAAATTTGATATCAAATTTTAAAATTTTTTAATCAGATTTTTTAGAAAAGTTTTGGGCATGCATTTTTAAAGCCAATTTAATTCCCGTATAATAAGGTTCAAGTTCGAAGTCGTGCATTTTCTGCGATATAAAAATACGAGTATTTTGGAACATAAATAAATATTTTGTGTGAATGGAAATGCAAAACGCCTCTCAAAAAGCAGCGCGAATTTTGAGGTACTTCAGATGTTCACTTTTTGCACTGAAATTTAATGAGCTATAAAACTTCATACCAAAAAAATTTCTGTCAGCCAGGTACAACGTAGCCATGTTTTTTGCCGGTGAAGGGTTGAAAAGTTTATTTCTGAATGAGCGTTACTAGCTTGAAGTGCGGCCAGAATGCAGAAAAGTTTGTAAATTAATGGAAAATAATATTCGTCGCAGTTACCAAGAGCTTCACGTTGCATACAGGAGTATTTGTATAGTAAATCCGGTCAAAATTCAGATTTATTAACTTTGATAAAATTCGCTTTAAACATATTATTTCTCAAGCTATATAACCGATCTATCAGTTTGCAGGATTTTTGACTACGTCATATAGAAAATAGCCTTTATTGTGATTATTTTTTTTCTCCGCTCCCAATAGCTGCATTTATTTCTTTCGTTATAATGTTTTTTTATGGACTAATCCCAAAATAAAACTAGTAGACATACAAAGAGAAAGGATGTGCCATAATTTATATTCTTTTGAATTATTTGAAATGAGACCTATGGGATATTTATTTTTAGCAAAAATTTCAATTAAATAACAG